AGAGAAATCCTTCTACGAGATGTTCGCGCGAAATGCGTTATTTTTACTTATGCGACTATAAAGGAGGAGCAGCCGGTTTGAATAGTGACTCGTTACTCGGCTAGGACATAGGAGGCTTATTAGGTACAAGACGGAATGCATTTTATGCTGAAGTACGTATGTACATCGATTTGTGTTTACTCGAGCCTTCAAGACATTCCGATTTATCTTATACATTCCAAGACACCAAGTATCGTGGCACGAAAAAGATGCGGCCTTGAAGACGCACGAAGACTCTTGTCCTCTCGTATCATCTTATTCGCTTTTCCTAGCCGCGCTTCGTGTTTTATTTATTGTAATTTCCAGTTAGGCCCATCAATAATTATCTTATGCGACACGCAGTGAATTCAATAACAAGACCATCGATCTCATTTAGAATATTTATGAGTTAGGTACCAGAACAGATAAAAATTTTTACTTGTACTTTCTTTAGAACGAAATATAATTATGTTTATAAAAAACAAGGTAATATATTTTTATCGCATTATTATTTGCAGAAACAGCTTTTTAATATTAATAATAATTATAATTATAAACTTTTACTTTTGACGCTTACATTTTACGCATTTGTCAGATACTCTGTTATCACTCTAAGAAGCGATATTAGACATTATTTATCGTGCGAATTATCCGAGAACAAAAACTCACTCGATAGTACTTGACATATTAAAAGTGCACCTTGTCGAAATAAGATGAGATTGTACAATATGAACAATGGTGTATTTCATTGTACGTTTACAAATAGTTGCCGATGCAAGTCCTATTAATAGGATTTTGGGTATCATTAAAAACTGATTATTCAAGAAAGAATCGAACTTTTAATTGGTTAAAATATCAAAAGGTTGAAATATCAATAAACCTTCTTTTAACTAAAAGTCGCTAAAAAAATGCAACAAAAAATATAAATTTTTTAAATTTCTTAATGAAAAAAAATAGCATTGCTATTACAGAAGTTATATACAGTTAACGATTTACAAGAGTTTTTACTTAAAAAAAATTAGATTATTAATAGAAGTGATAAAAAAAGTTGTTAAATTTATCAAGCTGTAACCAGGCTGTTTTTCTTACATGCATTTAGTAAGATTGATTTAGTAAGAGAATATTGTCTCGTTGAAGTGTATAATGACGCGTTCTGTGATTAGCGATTTTACTACTGCAGTGTTATTTATATCGAATTCCTTACAACCATCTCTTTTTTTCTTTCTGAAGGTCAAAATAATTTATCTCGTGTAATTTGAATGTAGCGTAAAGAAATTTCAACTTAAGATAAAGATAAGATTCAACGCAATTTAGATCTTATTACCGCTATATATATATATATGTGTATCGTATAATAAACGAATCTGTCATTAAAGATGTGTATCAGCGTCAGTATAATCAATGATATCAGTATAGTCAACGAAGATAGTTACCATACTTTCTGACATCATTAAACGTAATATATTTCTTCACATATAATATTCTTTACATCAGCACCGGATAGCAATTTTCCTGTCTCGAGCGGAGGAAATTTTTTTGCGTGATTGCGAATCAACGTACGTTACAAACAGACTTTCCTGATTCTTCTTCCGCAACACCGATACGTAGGTATAAACTGTCACTGGTGGAACTCGATGGAGCACTTGTCTGAGCGGCGCGCGATTCGACCGCACGGGAGCGGGGCCCGCTGGGGTCTCCTCGAGTCGAGAGGTGCGCGCGATGAATTTTAAAAGACACCACCGACGAGAGAGAGAGAGAGAGAGAGAGAGAGAGAGAGAGAGAGAGAGAG